CGACTCCCCGTTCTTCCTTTACTGAACACCTATTGAATACGGGCCATTCTCTAGACCCCAAAACATCTTTTCAAGTACTTTTTCTGGCACGAACAACTCGCGCACTGCGCTACCTGGAGGCAGCGTCTATACGACGGTCAAAAACTGACCTATGTAAACAACTAGAGCATCTTGTGAACCTTGCTTTGCCCTGGTAACATCCGGCACCCTGATTCACACCTCCCCCTGCCCGAATTTTTGCAGTACCGTTTTCTCCCCCTATCTCACTGTCCACAATGTTTCTTCTACATTTCTAATTAGACTTAATAATCCAATTTATTAATTGACCTTCCTGACCTGTTTCTATGACCACTTCTGTGTGAATTCAATTGTTGCATTATGTCATTCGTTACTCAACTCATGCAGCAAGAGGTCACAGCTGATGAGCGCTCGCGAAATTAATGGTTCCATTAAATCCTGTTGTATATGCAATCTTCCATATGGGTAACGTTTTCAGAAGCTTCTTTGTAGAAGGTATTTATTGATTCGTCTCATGCTATATTGTTTTCAGGGAAGGAAACTAGCTTAATTTAAACAGCATATTCCTTCTTTCATGGGTGATTCTGACCCTATTCGAACCGGTTATTAATATGGTCCTGTACGGCTTCAGACTGGCCTTCAAATAACAATCAGGTCATTGTCTGCTGAGCGCTTATTACCTTCCTTAACGACCAGCGTCTAAGACGCATGGGCATTAGTCGACAGTCGTGCGGGCTTTTTGCGATTTTGTTGTATACGTATACGTAAAAGGCTCTCATTAATCGTCGGCAAATTATCTGGAATTCCGCTGGACTTTATTTCAATGATAAACAGTCAATCATAAAGGAGCATTACCAGCAAGGATAAGACTAGCTGAAATATCCAGATTTATTGTATTGGGTAGCATCGATCAGCAGCACGAAAACCTCAGGATCCAACGTGCTTGGGTTTGAAATGCATCAGGTCAACTTAAGCTCAACACTCTACTTGCACAGTCGAGCTGCGGACTCTGCTTCAAAGTTAGAGTGTGCCAACACTTTACATTGACGAATGATTGAATACTGCTATAAAAAAACAGCCAGAAATACTCTTCGACTAACAAAGGTCGAGCCACCAGTTGTTATCACTCGCGGGGGGTGCTCGATTTTGCAAATGGTTCAGAGCACATGATCAACATGAGCCATATCAAAATTCGGATTTTATTATTTATGCGCTGACAACAATATTTGAGGGCGAGGGTTAACCAAAGGGTAAAGGAAAGCCTGGAAAACAGGAAGGTAAAATAACCGTTATCAGCTCCCTCCCATGCACGAAATTGCACCGATTGTGTTACAGGATAAGACTCCTACCACTAATTGGCCGTTAAATAATAGTAATTTATAAAGCTGATACAATTATAAACTATGGCTGGCTAGATAAGCATAGGAGATTCGGCTGCGTATGTTCAAAACGTAGTTACACCTTCGAACTCCATTATCCCAGTCCTAGTGAATTGAGTGTGATCTAGTTTCTAGCAGAATAGACTTCCACAGCATTTGGCACAGTCTCCACCCCTACTTCTCTCTCTCTGTTGACAGCCACCATTAAAGTCGCAAGAATCAGTATAGTCGTTCAAATGAAAGACTACACTTATTTTCGTAGTTCCTGGCCGTACGTTTCTAATGCCAAACGTTAACCTTAGGAGTTCATTTATGCTACATCTTTTTCCTCCTACAGGTATGCTACTCAGTGGCCTTTCTCTCCATTACTTTGCCACTTTGGACCCTTTGTGT